CTGCACTGGCCCCGTGACAGCCCCACCGCCTTTCCCAGCGTACAGGACAGCCCAGCACCCAGCCGGCGCGGCTGTACCAGCACCCGCTGCTGCTCCACCAGCGCTCCGGGAACCCATTTTAAGACCCCGAGTGCCCCTGCAAGGGCGGCCTGAGCCCGCGAGGCGCGCGGCCCCGGCCTCAGTCTGGGGGTTGGTTTGGTCCTTGGCAGGAGGGAACTCAGCTCGTCTCTCACTCGGTGACTCCCATTGGAACATTTTATCTGGGAGAACTTCCACCTCAGCCCGTTGGTCTGGTTCACAGTTCAGCCCTGCTTACCTCGTTCCTCCCTGCCCGCGACTCGGCCAGACGCTGCGCAGCGGCACGGGACGGCTCTTACCTGCTCCGTCTCTTCCTCTTGCTTTTCTCCTCCCAGAGTGCCGGCCCTGGCCGGCGGCTGTGTCACACCTGAACCTCTCCTCTCCGTGGCAAGACACGGGTCTGTACTCGCCCCAACATTGTTTGCCTCACGCTGCCCAAAAGTCGATACCTGGATGCCGGAGTATTTGTGCAGTTGGAAGCAGTTTCCGCTGCCCAAGCGACAGGGCAGGGCTGTCGTGGCGCTGCCGGCGTCGGAGCTGCACGCTTCCCAGGGAGGGCAGGCCGCTGCGGCGTGACCAAGGCCAGTGTTGCTACGAAAAAACATGCTGGGCGAGAACAGCTTTGCTCTCCTGCAGCAGCTTCCGCACACTGAAGAAGGATCCAGGGCTGAGGCAGGAAGTCAAAGGTCAGTAGTGAAATAAGAAGTGAACTTGGGAAGGGAAACAGACAAGTGGAGAAAAAAAACACAGAGAAATTATCTGTCAAACCTTCCAAGATGTGAGAGAGGGAGAAGAAAAGGGAGTGAAAACAAGGGAAGACCCAAATTCTGTGAACACTAGTTTGCGTGAGTCTCTAAGTTGGTGCTTTCTGGTCCAAGAGCTACAAAGAGTAAGGCCGTACAGATTAATTAAAAAATGATATTTTATTTTAAATGCAGCTACTGTCATGAGCCATCAAAATAGACTTTGCAATAGTTACTTTGTTTTAAATATGCCGTGACGAATGACAGCTAAGAACAGAAACTACATGACATGTCCTAAGATTGTAAATTAAAAGAACTAGATTTAAATATTACAAATGGCAATTTTTGAGAAGATAAAAGGGAATTAAAAATACTTTCCAGAAAAAGTAAAATAATTTGGCTGGTAAAACCATACTAAAAACGTAAATTAATGAGATACTGCACGTGAAATACTTGCAGAGGACTCCGTTCTGTCATTGTCACTGGAAAGACCCACGAAGCTAAAATCTCACCGTTGAAATTACATTGCTCTAACCGCTTCTCTTACTTAAAACCAGTTCAATAATCTAGGATAATCCAAGGAACCACTGATAAATTGCACTTCTACATGTTGTTCTGCAGTGGGGCTGCTGCTACCAGTGCTGCATCTGACCAGGGACCGGTGACGGCCTGGGCCTTCTCCCGCACGCAGCTCTTCACCGCAGAGTGGTTCTGAGGGGTCCTCGCGCTGGTTGGGCCGGGTGTAGCAGCTAAGGGCTCCTCGCAAAGCCCTCCAGAATGACTTAAAATCACGGCTGAAGGGGCATCGGGTCTTGGCTTAACGCTTCTCAGCCGCATCCTTGTCGTCTCAGCTCTCAAAATGCCACTGCTGAGGAAGGGACCCGTCGCAGATGGCCATGGTCACGTACCCTTTGTGGCTGAGCGGATCGACCACCTTCATGCACTGCCCCACAGAGACCTGGTAGAGGCGGTTGTTTTTCTGGAGGAGAGAGACCAGCAGATGGGATTTATTTATTATAACTTCTCTTCTACTCCGCTGTCAAACTGAAGCCAAAACCGACGCTTAAGGGGAGGGGACGCCCCTTCCTGACGGATGAGCTGTTCGGCAGCCTCCCCGACACCCCAGACCCACAGCAGCAGCACGGCAAAGCCAGAGCACAGCACACCCCGTAACCACGGTCAGACCTCGAAACCAAGGCTCTCGCATCCTTACCGGGACCCGGAGGGGATTTTGTTTACACCACCGCCTCTTAATGAGGTGGAGGGATCATCTAAACCGTTCCCCAGCGCTCGGGAACGAGGGAGCCCCCAAGGCTACGGTGCAGCGCAGCCAGGCCCCTGCTCCGCATCCGGCCCAGCCCCAGCAATGCCCCCGCCCTCAGCACCCAGGCGCTGGGGAGCTGCCGCAGCGTGACAGGCCTCTCATGCACGGTGGGTCCCGGCAACCAGGGCAAGGCCAGACCCCAGTCAAGCGTGAAAAGGACACAGATCCTTCTCCTCCTTTTTTTGCCTCCCAGAGAACCCTGTCATCTCGCCCTGCTAACAGCTTGTTACAGCTGCTTTGGGCACTTTGGGGGCCCTTTTTGTGTGGAAGGGGCTTTCTGTCCAGCCCCAGCAGCTCCCATGGGCAGCAACCTCCTGCCCTCCTGCATGGCAGGAGCAGATACGTGAGAACAGCCGCATCGGGCTCTGTGTCGCTGCTTATGGCTGTGAGCAGATATCCAGTGAAGTGGGAGAACATGGCAAGAACACACAACACTCCTCCAGGATAACCCCCACTCCGTCTTGGACTGTAACCGACAGTGCACAGCTGGCCTGTCTCCGTACCAGTGACTCACACACCGAACGCATTTCCCCTTGCTCCCACAAGTCCTCGCTTACCTAAAGAGTCCCAGCCTGCTCACACACTCCTAACGTGAAAGGTGGTGCCCCACACCTTCGCTTTGCCCTGCCACCATCCCTAATTTACCCTTTCTGAGAGGAGGCGACCAGCACGTGCAGCCCAGGCAAACCACAACGGTGTGATGACGTTTTTCTGCTTTGGTCCCTGCTCCTTTCCTCATCAATTCTAAGATTTGATTCACTTTCTTTTGTTGTTGAGCATTACCGAGCACCAATCGGACACTGTCAGACCCACCTCCTGCACCCCCAGTGGCAGTGGCCGACTCGAAGCCCTCGTTCCTCCCATGAAGCCCAGATTCTCCACCACCACCACAGGTACCGCCTGCAGAGTTACTGCTCTGAATTTCACTGGCTGTTCTCTCAGTCTTCTAAAATCTTTGCCCGCCAACTCAAACTGAAGAACCCTGAATAATCTCTTAGCAGCAGCAAAACTTTTCAGCTCGCTGCTCCCACAGCCGTGGCCGCGGCACCGCCAGGCAGAGCTGCGCGATGTCTGTGCGGTGTCAGACACGCACCGCCCTGGGCTCACGCGCCTTTGTCTCCGTATCTCCAAACTACCCGGGACTGCAACAGCCTTCCTGGGTTGACTGCGCCTGGGAACTCGGGCTGCGAACGAGCAGCACGGCATGAACCCAGGACAGTTTAGGCAGAGCTGTCCTGGAAGCGCAACAGGCAGCTCTGGCAGCGCCCTCCTCTCTGTTCAGCGGTGTCTGGGCTACAGAACCTCTGCGGTGCGGAGCGCCTTGGGGGAGCAGCCTCTGAGCTAACAGCCAGGCGCCAGATCTCAGGTGTACGCAGCACTGGCTCAGGGAAATCGGCCACTCCAGACTCGAAGCGATTAAACAAACACGATGCAACTACAGGGCACGACTGCAAAAAGCTCCTCTGTCAACCCTCAGCTCTGCCCTGTGCATCTTCGAGCAGGAATTACCACACAGCCTGCTCCTGTCCCCCAGTCCTGCAAACACACCACAGCAAAGAGCTGTGGGGTGGGTTTGGTTCTCTCTGGTGTGTCCCTGTGAGCCCCAAGTGCTGCGGGTGGCTGTGACGAGCAGATAAAAGGCTGAATGGGGCTGCAGAAACCTGCCTGTGTCAGAAAGGAAAGGGCCTGCGTGTCCCAGAGCGCAGCACAGGTCTTACCCGGGCTGAAACACGGCCACCAAAGCCCACGCAGCTTTTGTACAGGCCGCCTAGACTGTGGGCTGGGCTTAGTACAGCACAAGTGACTTGGTACGTGGGAGGTTTAGTCATAATCAAACTCAACCCCGATGTCCTGTTAGTGCTACTGTTGCTTATTGAGACATTAATCCCAAGCAATGTGTTATAGTCAGCCACTCCACTTACCCCAAAAGTCCACTGCTGCGAGCCGCCGGACCCGTGGCATTTCATGAGACGAGGTGGATCGGAGGAGCGAGTTTCCGAAACGTCCAAGCAAAGGAGATTATTTAAAATCAGCTCGTGATCTTCATTGTAAATCCAGACCTGAAAGAGAAGACAGGAAGGCATTTATCCCCATGTCGCAGGGCAGGCGCTTTGCATCCTTTGTTCAGCTCCAGAGGAGGCACTTCAGCATCTGGATGTTAGAGATGTGCCTCGCGACGCTCGCTGCTCTCGGCTGCCTGGAGCTGCAGGGCTCTGCTGCCTTCCCAGCACCACACAGGGGCACGAAAAGGACCGATGGCCACTCTGCCCTGAAACTAACACTTTAAAATGAAGCAGCCCCCGTATGTTGCTCCTGTCCAGGCAGCTAGACAAGGTAACGTGACAGGAAAACGGTGAGCAGCCCCTCTCTGGGCCAAGTCACTAAGCCAGGCAGTAAATCCCCTTATCCAAAATGATCCTTTAGTCATGAAGGAGAGGCTGCTGGATTGTCTCAGCTCCACGCAGGGAGCCAGAGGACACCGGGTGACAGCAGGTGGCCAAGGGGCTGTGGGGAGGTAGCTTGGCAGGCCAAAGGGCATCTCCAGTCTTCTTTGAGACTGCTGCGTTTGGCCATAGTGGTTGGACTCGACGATCTTAATGGTCTTTTCCAACCTAAACGATTCTATGGTTCTATAACACAAGAATTTATTTAACGTTGTGCTCGGGGGTCAGCTTGTAGATGCTGAATGATGAGAAACCGCAGTCAGCTGTGCAAGTTGTGGTGCCAGGTAGCCTACGTTAGTCCCCACACTGGTCACAATATACAGCTGGTGGCCCGGTGCTCAGAGATCTTTACTCAAGTAGATGATCATCAGCATCCTGGCGCTATCAAAACTTCCCATACTGCTCTCCAGGGAGTGAGAAAAATTGCTGCTTTACCATTCCCATGCTGAAACTACGTGCTCCATAACCAACAGGTTTACAGCTGCTCTGCTCCCCAGCCAAACTGCTTTTGCTAGCTGTGCCGTGCTTAGAGGGAGACCACCCCTCCCCATTTCACACCCACTTTGTTTTGGCTGATTCAACACGAAAGTGTCTTGATTTGGGCCTCAAGAACCTATACAGTGCCCCAGCAGCTCACATAGAGGTGGGAATGGAATTCAGCCCTGCTCTGGGGCCCACCCGTATAAAGCAAGAACGCACTGGCTCACATCTGCAGCTTCAACTGCATTTGGGTTCCTGAATTGACATGAAATTAGAGGAGTTTCTCTGTGATTACACTGCAAACCATTGTCACTTCTAACAAGCAGCAAGGACACACTCAAGCTGTTGGTCTGTCCTCCCCGACATGCTACTTTAGCAGAAGCAGGTGTTTTTATTGCTGGCATAAAAGAAGCGTGAGGCACCTTCCGTTGCTGCAGTCCATGCCCACACCCTGCTGACTCTCCCTGGACTGCCTAAACCTTGCTGCGGACCAAGGCACGTCTGGCACAGCTGAAGGTTCAAGGAAGCTGGACCACGGGCCTGGTTCACCCTCCCTCCTTCAGTGCCTTCAGGCCTGCGAAGTTCTGGCCAGTGTTGCTCAGGCAGAGGACCTGGAGCTCTCACAAGCAACAGGAGACTGAGACTCCGACCCCTACGCCAGAAAGCAAAGAAATGAATGAACTTTGGCGTGTGCACCTCAAAAGATCCTGGGTTACACAGGGGCAGGGAAAAGGAGGAAAAGGATATGCCAACTGTAACTGTGCAGTGCAGGGGAGACACGGAGACCCCCTGGCTGAACACCGAGCGACTGCTGCTCTGCACGCGCCGCGGGGCCCTCCCTGCCTTCACCCGGCACCTGAGCAGGCGACAGCAGAGCTGGCCTGGTCCCGGACCCGACCCCAGGCTGGTGTGTGCAAGGAGCACCCGCCCCACGTGCCAGCACCAACTCCCTGCCGCCGTGAATGAGAGGAAACCGAGCCCCTCGAGACTGTACCAGAAGCACCTGTACCTACAGGCACACCAAGTTCTTCCTCCGTTCTCCTCCCAGCCCTGTTTCAATTTCACACAGCCCAGTGCTGCAGTAACCACGCCTGCTCTGTGACTTGTATTTTTTTTTTCCCCCAACGAAGTCTGCATGAGCTTCACACTCCCAGGTACAGAATATCAAATTCCAGGCAGAAAAGTCAGGAAACTAAAAGAAATTTGGATAGTTTTTTGGGTGGTTTTTTTTTTGGTCTGGTGAAACTAAGAGCAGCCTTCTGGAGGACACTGCCTCAGTTGGACAGCTTGACTGAAAAGCATACAGCTCATTCATGAGCACCGTGACCATTACAGCACAGGGAGGGCGTCCTTTGGGGAAGTGCAGGTACGACACTACAATTCGCCCCAACCTCAGCTGTCCTGTGCCTTCTTTCTATCACACCTTTTCTGTTTAAATGCTGTCGTGGGAAAGAAAGCATGGCAAGATAAATAGAAAAATAGCAGGACTTGCCAGAAGAGTATTATTATTAAAAGAAGAATAATGATGGAGTCAAGTCCAAACAACAGATGAAACTGGTAAGGACTGGGAGAGAAGACTGCAGCGAGAGGAAGCAGACCTTTGATCAAGAGCTGAGTAACGGCCAAGAACACAAAACGGTGGTTACATCCAGTGTGATACTTCTCCAGAAAGGCTTAGGCAAGATGGCCAGAATTCATTTCAAACTAATTATGTGTTCAGTGTAGCAAACAAAGGAAAGAGGGGAAAAAAGGCCCGAATTTGGTACATATTACGGTTGCAAATTCAGATTAGAGTATCAGTACGAACTTGCAGATTATTAACAGACTCAAGCACGAGGAAAGCAAAGCCATCCCACAGGGGTGTCTGTTAGACAACTCCAAGCTTTGCACACTCCAAAATCCAGTAACTCCTTTGCCGCTGAAGGTGGAAGGACGACGTTTGGCTCCTGTTGTTACAGGCTGTCAGGAGCAACAGCCCAGTATAGGAAGGAAACCTCTCCTGGCAGCCAGCACAATATTGGAAGTCTATAATCGATAAGGTGCCTGCCTAGGATTTATACCTCAGTTCCAAGTGATGCCTTGTTTGATCCTCTTACATACTCGCTACAGAAAATGTCATTCTAAAAATTCATTTTATTTTTTAAAAAAGTAACAGATGAGGTGCACGATATTTGCATCCTGCATCCATTTCCTACCACCTAGAGAGCATCACTGTCAGATTTTGGTTTCTAAAAGTGGAATTGTGCCCAACTCCCACCACCCAGGAAAGCAGCACCTCTCCTGGCTGTGCCCCACAGACACGTGCTAATAGCTGATCTGCTCCACAAGTCTAAGGAAAAGCACTGACCCTTTTCACTGGAGTCAAAATAAAACACTGGGATGCTATTAGGATATAATGAATTGTTTCTGCTTTCAAATAAAACCTAAATGGCAAGTATTATGGAAAAACCTCTCTCCATAATTAAATGGATCCAAGTTTGGGGTTAAATAAATGATTTCATTTGGTGAATCCTGTAAGCCTGGCCTCTTTCTAGCAGCTTTTTTCCCCTGCCTCTCAACACAGGGCAGAGGATAAGAGGAAAGGTGCAAGGACCCTTCAGTCTCAGAAGCGCAGTGGCTCCTTCAGCTGCTGCCTGACCCTTCTGAGGTCTTGGATGTCCCCAGAGCACCGAGAGATCTTCCCTCGAGCAAACCATTTCAGATGGGGTAGTGCTCAGATGCCGGCCCAGGTCTCCCACCCATCAGCATCAATGCCTTCACCTTTGGCTGCAGGGGCGCAGAGGGCCCGTGTCCCTTCGTCACCGGGACTGCAGGAGCCGGCTCAGCTTTCCCATAGCGGAAACGGGACCCACAGACCCGGGTAACTGTTGTCACTGCTGGAGCGAATGTGGCAAGTGACTCCTTCTGGTCACCTACAGAGAGGTGCACAGCATGCACTGGAGGAGTCTCGTGGAGGACATCCAAAGTACAAACTATTAACAGAACCTTTTTAGGCAGGGGCAGCTTAGGAAGAAGTGCATTTTGAATTTAGTCCCCTCAAAACGTAGTTCAGACTATTTGCAGATTTATGACGGAAGTTTCCTAGGGCTTCTAGTGCCTTCAGGATTTTATTTCACCCCCATATAACAAAAACAAAAAAAAAAAATCACCCAGCCTTTTCCTGGATTGATTGCTATGACAAGTTCATTAATCTCATTTACATACAGACAGGTAGGCAGAAGCAGGCCTTCTCTTCATACACAGCTCAATGAACAGTTCCAGCGATGACTACAGTTTAACTCCTTGCAAGCAAAGCACTGTGACACCGCTTAAGACTAGATATCGGAGTTTTTTTGCTCTCCCATTTTACTAATCTTTGGATTTTATAACTGGTTTCAGGTTGCCACTGTTGGTAAAGGAGGCACACTCTTCACTACCTCCATAAACCCCCATATTCCAGTGATCCCCCCCGGCATTATTTTTTTTTTACCAGAATAAAGAGATACAGGGGTGTGTTACTGATTTTTTTTTTTTTTGTGAAAGATAAAATGATTCCTACAGTGAGATTTGTTAATGTAAACAGCTAGCTGAAGTACTTCGGAGGAAAGGACTCAAATGGTGCCTCAACATCTCGGAGGATGGCCCATACTATCCTTTCCTTTTGAAATATGGAGTTAACTATAGAAGATTGAGTCCAGTGTCACTACAGAGAACTGTATTAAAACAAAACTATCACACAGCCTAGGGAAAAACAATAAATCAAAGAATCTGTAGCAGACAGAAAATGGAAGCTCACTGTTCCTAGGGAATAAATACTTCAAAATTATATGAATTACACTAGGAAGCATCAGCCTACCCTTCGGCTTTCAGAGTGCAGCGGAGTGTAGCAAAAGGCATGGCTGGCCAACTGGCAAAGCTTTGTGGATATACATTCTTCTTTGGTCTGCAAATTGCATTAGCACTAGAGGAATGCATTGAAAAATTTCAGTACATACAAGACAGTAACTGCTACAGAAACAGCCCTTTGTGTGAAAGAAAATCCCTGCCGTGAACCATGCCGAGGCGAGGCATTCCAGTACTTTCACCAGTTACAATCTGTTGCTTAGATTGGCACTATTGGGTTATTCAGTTAGAGTTTTTAACAGACAAACATTCAGTTTAAGAGCACAAAAAAGCTGCCTCAGCACTAAGGAAGAGATGTGCCCAGCAATTTGCACCATCACAGCTATCTGCATATACTTCAGCTCCTGTTATTATGGATAACGACGACGTCACAGCACCAAATGACAGCAGTGGGGTGGTCTATAATCATTATTTTAAGCTATTGCTACCCCAGGAATCCAACATCCTCCTGAAGGTCATTCCAAAGCAGACATAGGCTTTCTGTTCCACAGTTCAGTGTATGGCTGATGTTTCGTTACGATCTGTTGGAGGGACTGAAGACTTGTTTGTGTTCCTCCAACAGTTTGTGGAAAAGCAGCAAGCAGACTTAACTTGCACATCTTCACGCTCACTCTAGACACATGTGGTATCCGAAAAGCAAACTGTCAGCCCTGATCCAGAGGTTTAGGGGGAAAAACTTGCACGTGTGAGCACATCTTTCTAGACTCTGACTCCTGAGCAGGTTGTGAAGTATGTATGCTTACATTTACAGAGTGCTGCAAGTGTGTTAACAGAGCTTTTCTGAAATACCCTTTAAAATATCTTTTAAAGGCCCAGAGCACAGCAGCACATGCTTAGACACCTTAGCACCATCCCCAGCTTTCTGAAGCTTAATACATTGCTAAGTAAGAGAAAGGCGAAGTTACTGAAATGAAGCAAACGTCAGAGGAGATGTTATAACAACAAAGTAAAGCTTAGGAGTAAACCTAGTGTATTTGAAAACAAATAGTAGAAAAAAATCCATTTAATTCAGTGGACTTTAAGAGGAGATTTTTGGAAGAGGAACTTGGCTTTAAGCATTTAGGTCAGGAAGAAGGCAAACACACATTAGACACAACGACCCAACCTTCTTTCAGCTGTTAGATCACAAACACGCCCACTAGTTAGTCCTGTTGTTGGCCGTTACACTTCCTTCCAAAACCTTCCTTTTTAGTGGTCTTTGACACTTCTTTTCCAAGTTTCTCAGTAACAACTACTACTCTTCCTCCTTTAGGGCAGTATCTAGCCCAAAGCTTGCTTGAGCATCCTTGTCTCCTAATCACCACTCAATTAACCTTGGCATGTTTTTGGGCAGAAGCCACATAGTTTTTTACTTCCACTTTTCAGACTTCTCCAGCCTTTCATGATGATCTGGAGTGCTTAAATATTTTCTACCCTCCTTCAAAACGCAAGTTTTTGCGGTGTGCACTACCTTGTGCATTCTCAGTTTTGTTTCCAGAGAGAGGTCACACACACTGCTGAATTTCAGAAGGGTGTTTACTTCAGTCTTGGGAATTCCCTCAGACAACCACTCTTCACCTACAAAATTTTTCATTCCATGTTGGTCTTCTGTTTGCAAAATTCATATTCAATTTTTCTGCTTCTTTTATTGTTTCAGACCTCTCCACACTGACCTTCATTCTACTGGATCCTCTCACCTCTCCCACTCATGCTATTTCTAGCTACAAACATTTTATCCTTTATTCCTAAAGTTGTGTTCAGTCCCCAGTAATATCCCAGACTGAGTATTTCTGTTACAGTTAACAAAATGTCCTAGTTTTCATTATACCTTAGAGAAAACCCCAAATTTTGGAATATTTTCTAGATGTATCACCTTTGTGAAAACCACTTCCCTTATTGCTTTTTCTTTCTACAGCAAAAAGGTGAATTGAATGTCACTGTCAGGTCAAGTCCTAGAAAACAGGATACTTTGATGTGCTTGAGTAATTTTTAACTTTACTTAATGGTGATCAACTGAGCTGAATTAAAAGTCTTACCCATAATGGTGATACAACTGCAAGTTTCACAACATCTCTTATTTCTTTTAAATCAAGAAGTTCAGTGAGAAGTTGAAACTTCTTAGCAGCCATGAAGGCTAGAGAAAACGAAGCAAGAGTAAACGAAGGCAAAACAGACCTGCTTGTAAGGCCAACCTCCTGACTTCAGTGAGTCTGGTGTCCTCATGCACCTACTTTTCAAGATCAGGTCTCACATGCATGAATCATCTCTATTACACAGAAGACCATTTTTTTCAGTCAAAAGATGACACAGAAGATCATCTTCCAACCAAAAGAACTGTGATCAATGACTCTTAAGGCACCTTGCTCCTTCAACTTACTGAGCAGCAGCCTGTCTTTCAAGGGAGGGCGGTACCTATTCACAGAGCAAAAGCAGCCTGGAAAGAGAGAAACAGTGATGACTTACTTCTGTTCCTCAGGGAAAAGTCAGCTGGCGTCACATGGAATCAGCGCCAAATGGTGCCAGATTATTTCCACAGAAAGCACAGTTAAGCTGTGGTACTCACTGCCACAGGATACCGAAAGCTTTCATGAGGTCAAAATACAATTAGACTTTCATGGAAAAGCAAAAATTCTACAAAAATACCATCTTTGGCTCAGAAAAATGCTAAACCAAGTCACAAAGAACACTGCTCGTGAAGGGTAGATGGCTATCTCCCAGAATAACCGTCTGCACTGTGTGTATTAAGCAACACACACTTAACCTGCTGCCAGTGGGCATCCAGGGGACAGGATAGCTGGGTGCTACCTTTCACAGTCCCAACACAGGCTTCTTATTAGGCCAATGGCATAAAGCAGATGATTCTAGAGCAAACATCAGCTGAAAATACCAATGGGATGAGTGCTAAGAGAAACGACAGTTAAAAGCTTCCAATGTTCTGGAAATTTCTTGCTATTTTTATGAGCAGAAGCTGTTAAGCGTCATCTTTCTCTACATTGTTCTAGAGCAAGGTCATTCAAGCAAGCTGGCTGAATGCACTCTTGGGATTTACTGGGAGAACAAAATAAGTCTAATGGCAGAAAATCGTAGTGTTGGTTAACGTACTTGGGAGAACAAAATCATTGTGAAAGAAGATAGCACAGCCAGGGGTTTTTTTATGAGAACAAATTGCTTAATTTACCACTAGTAAACTAGATTAATGAGAAAAGAAGTCAAAGATCAATGAGCTGAGCTCAAATTTGTCTCTCTCAAAACCAAAAGGCTAACTGAAATTTCTGTCCCCAGGAGAAAAACCAGAAAAAGGTTTTGATAAGGAAAACCAACAGACTTCCTCCTCCAGCCACGTGGCAGTTCACTATGAGAACTATTGCAGGAAGGAGAAGGGAAGCAGTAACTGGAAGGACCCATCTGTTCTTACTGTGGACATAACCCACTAGAAGCAATCGCTGCTTTCTCACTCACGGACTGAACGGCTCAGAAAGCAGCGTAACACCTTTGGCACTGCAAATGTACAATCACTGGTGCCAATCAGTTACTATAACATTTACACAGTCTTTACATCTACAAGACTTGCTGACTTTTGTACAGCTAATGGAAGAGATCACATAGGGAAACCTTCGTTCACATTCCAGCTTGAATTCATCCACCTTCAGCAGAGACCCACAATGTGGTCAGAGTGATGAGTCCATTCCAGCTTGAATTCATCCACCTTCAGCACAGAGACCCACAATGTGGTCAGAGTGATGAGTACTCAGAGGCAAAGCGCAGGGATGTATTGCTTGGTCCTGTAAGTGGCAACTGGAAAGTGTGTGTCTAGAGCCAACCACGCTTATCCAGACACAGGCCAACACACTTCTGTCACATTCAACTGGTGAGGCCGTAGGTAGGAGGCTGAAAGTCCCATTAGTTGACAAAGCACACAACTTTGTGTTTGGGACTATCACAAATCATCCTGCTTCTACTGCTGCAGTTTCCACATCCTGAAAACTACTGCCCACTTCATAAAGTACCAAGTTCGTCTAGCACAACCCACCCCTGGTAAAGCCATGCTGCATTACTTCCATGCTCTATTTATTTTCATTACTTTGCTCTTTAGATGCTGTCTAAGTTTTAGACTTGGGTCCCATGGGCTCCTAAATCCTCACGTGCTCAATGTAGTTCTTAGCTATGTAAAAGTCTTTACAGCATTAGGTGAAGATCTCTCTACCTTGGAGATTGTTCATCCAAGTCTCGAATGTCTCTTGCCTGAAATAACAGAAGTGGAATAGCGAAGGCTTCATGTAGTAACATAAAAACTCTCATTAGATCTTCACATCCATCCCCAGTTAATCCCTAGATCAGCAATTCACCTGTAGCCAAAGAATTTTCTAAACTCCTTAGAATTCCTTCTATTTTAACAATAACAGATCATCCATTCACCCCAAACTACAGCCACTCCAGCAGCAGAGGACTATTTGTACAGTACGCAAAGAACAGCAGGCCAGGAAGGGCTGCCAGTATGTACAACTGACTGAAAGAGCTTCTACAAATGCTAAAGTGTCGAACAGTTGATTATGAACCCATCAGGAGCCTCTTAAGGATAGTCTTCAGCCACATACAGAGATTCATGACAAAAAGATAGGAGATTATAATATCCAACACTCAGCTTTCATAGGCACAGAGCAGTAACCCTGCTGACATCAGCCTGCTGGCTGATGAGATGTTAGGCTGTGGCATTTTGCCAGCAGGAGAACATACTAGCAGTTTGCAAGATGTGAATCGCTATTCAATGTAGTCAGGAATATCATACCTGGTTTTGATCGTTGTAGTCACATTCCCGAACCACTACCAGGCCTCCTTTCTGACTTGGGTGGCCCTGGGCAACCAGGCATTTGTTGGTTTGAAGGTGATACAACTATGAAAGGAAAACAGTGTGACAGAGAGAGTAAACAACAAGCATCGCATACCAAAGGGAAATGCTTTGGAAGCCCTAGAACAATAAAACAACCCCTTCTTCCCTTTTAAGTTACCATTTTGTTTTTCGGATAATTTGCAGAAAAAACAGCATTAAATGGTTCCATTTTGCTTTCTACTTACATCAAGACCTCCCTCTTTACGTACAAGTGAAGCACACACAACCTGGCTCAGCACGTGCCGGCCATACCCTGTCACGTTTCTTTTCCCTCTTCACTCTCCATGAAAGTCTCAGTTCCCAGATACTCACTAGCTCAGGATTATCAACTGTAATGTGTAAACTACATTTTACTACAGTTTAGCTTAAAAGTAAGTCTCCTCCTACAGTCTCTCTTCTCAGGAACCTGAAGCAGAACCACCTCTTTGAGAAAGAAGGAATTACTTAAATACAAACAATTTCAGAGACTTACATTGTTTGCAAATTTTCAAGAGCACTTGGGTAACTGAAAAGCCATCGTTGGCAGCTATGTTATTTTAAAGACAGATCAGGGAAGAGGAGAAAATTTTACAAACACTCAAACGTGTTCATTCCAGTTCAAATGCACTACCTAGTCTGATTTGGAGTAATGTCGTATCAGAGGACTAGACTCAGGTCAGGAGCCTGTCCTGTGATGCAAAACTGGAAGCATCTACCATCGCAGCAAACAAGGAGGATCTCAGCAAGTTAGCAATCTCTCTCCTGGTTTGGGCAATGATGCCCATCCTAAAAGTCACCCAAGAGGTTTTCTGCAGAGCCTGAAGATTCGGTTGTCCTGTTCCAACAGTCAAGAATCATTATCTTGTTGTATCCCTACAGAGATACTCAGCGAGACAAAACACCTCTATTCCAGCTTTAAATTACACACATGCCCTGAACTAACTGGTCACCAGCAGGAGACTTGTTTTCAGCCCAATTATTTATCTTCCGCTGATGTGGTGAGGATGAGGCTGTTCAGGCAGCAATCGCTGCCTGCACATCAGGAACTACCCCGCACGCAGCCAAGGGTACAAAGGAGACAGGCAATTATTCCAGCAATGGCCACAACTCTGCCATCTCCCTCCTCGCAGCAAAGAGCCCCGCTCTCTACCAAGTGCATGGGAGTGCATTTGACAGTCACGGGGTGTGTGCATGTGTGGGAGATGGCAGGGGCTCAGATCTGGCATCCACATTAAGAATAATTATTTCAAATCTGGAGCTGAATGTAGAGGAAAAAAAGAACTTGCTGTCCTGAACTCAAGGCCAGGCTGATTAGTTAGCTAGCTGCAATTTATTATGAAGACATACATAGCTGTCTTGGCATTTATAACGATTCTACAGATTTTTAGAAACAAAAAGACACTTCCAGTAATAAAAAGAAAGAACTGCTCCATCACATGACAGCAAAAATTAGAGAGCACAAATACCAAACAATATTCTTCTCTAAACACCATTTCTGGAAATAGCTGTCCCAAGGCACATCAACAGCCTCCCCAAGCGCACCATGTTTCTCCTGTTCCCTACGCACATCTGAAACAAATTACACAAACCTTGTAAGTAACATTTCCTCATACCCCAGAGACTTCTATGAGAGATCTCATTTTCATCATTCTTCACTCAACAGAAGGCTTTCAAACCATACAGCTACATGAGTTTTATATGATTTTTGTCCTTGTTTTTATTGGCCATGATGATCAGCATTGGATAACCCCGGTAAGAACTGTCACAATTTGTGATCATGACAGTTCTTCCCAGCTGTCACACCAGCACTTATCTCTGGCCCAATTAGTTTTTGAGAATAAGTTGGGATTTGGAGTGATTCATCCTGAATCCTAAAGAGTCTGGCACGCAGTGGTGACATTGGCTGATCGTTCTGTTCCTTGTAGGCATCTGGAAATAGTTTATACAATCATCAGAGCCAAAGCTGACTCTCACACAATGCTGGGTCTAGTTCTTGAACCCTGGAGAAGGAACTGCATTTTTCTGTGTCTTCTCTCCCCATTCTTAGAGGGTGCACAAATTTTTTGTCCAAATTAAACCACGGTAAATTCTTGCTGGGAAGAATTCCCCTTAAGTGTTGTTGAGGGATTCAGATCACTCAAGTAGCCTCCCCCACAACGGCAATTCTTTAGTTAAACTTCTGTATGAATGAAAGCAGAAAGCTATTAAATTTAACAACAACAACAGGTCTGACTAGGGGAATAACAGCATTTAACAACTAGGGCAATCAGCCCATTGTATTGTTTTATTCAGGGAAACTACGCGTGTTTGCCCTAATAAATAATTTTACAGCTTGGATGGGATGCTATTATAAAAATACTACACAAAACTACACAAACTACTTCCCAGATAGTTGCTTCCAAGCAAAAATCCAATGATGTCAGTAGGTTCTACATGCACTCGAGTCCTCCAGCCTGAATCTACTTCCAGGACCAGCAACTGTCAACAGCTACCTGCAGCCTGTGTTACCTTGTGGAGAGGGCTACAACACTATTTAATGCTTCCAATTACTGAGATAGAAGGGAATCTGCTAACCATAACCTATGTGCACATGAAATAGGTCATTTATTCAAAGGTCTTCTCTTTCACAGAAAAGACCTTGAGAAAGTTGTCTTGGGTTTGAAGTTATCCATTAATTTTGGGAAGCGTAAAAAGCACGTATGAGGTGAATTTGGTACTGGGGAGAACAGGTACAACTGTATGATGGCTTTGCCTGCATACAAACCCATAAATATAGGTGTAGGAGCTAAGGCCTGAGATTAAAAATTATTTCCTTCATGAATAAATGTAAAAATTTATCTCTCACTTCTACTTTGAAGAAAAAAGAAGCAAAACTCATTTTTTGTTTGTTGTCTAATAGTCAAGACTAGAAAAGCCATCATCAATCTCAGATGCAAATGTCCATCTTTTCAGAAAATTATCCGGTAAAAGCAATGAGTTTGGAAACTAATTACATTGTACTTTTATCATAAACCAACAGAGCACGAACATTTGAGGCCAAATTTCTCTCTATCCAAATCCATCTTCAGAACCAACAGCCATGAAAGCACATTCTGAAGACATCAAAACTTTGTAACTTGGAGCTTTGAGGTAAGAAACCTCATCAAACAGTATCTAGTTTGAAGATAACCTGAAATATAGATCAGAGTGAAACAGATCTGCCTATGTCTAAAGACACAAGTTCTGTTATTGTCAAGACAGCTTGTTGCAGAACTAAAACTCCATGCCCCACGGAAACAGACTACTTTTCTTGTATTGGAGCAAATCTTTCAGAAAGAGTCTCAAAATAATTTAAAAAAAAATTATATTTTTAAGAACGTTTATCTTACCCTTCCACGCTGGATTATTTTCGGTCGTTTCTGTGCTCTATTAACAAAAACTGGCTGCGGAGCTTTGGCATTGGGCCCAGATATTTGCATCTCAGGATAGATATTATCTAAATACCACTTAAATGACTTGCAGTTCAATCTTTTTCTCAATTCTACACGGTCGGTAATATTTCCATAGTTCCTCATCCTCAGCTCAGGTCTCAAAGCAAAATACTGCTCCTGTATTTAAGAGAAACAGGTTGGGGGCAAGGGGAGAAGAACTTCAGATTACTGATTTCCAACTTTTTCAGGTTTGCAGAACTCAAAGTTTCAATTCATTTTGCTAGTGCTTTCAACCATTAAGTTTGAAAGCAGCATTAGGAAATTCCAGTGTTTAGATTGCCACAGGAGATGAGATTTATCTTGCTTAACTCTGAGCTAATCTTTCTAGGCTGCTTTTTTTGACGAAGACACTTCTCAGGCATGAATCTGCTGACCTTTTTTAGATGCCAACTTGAGGAGGAAACAAATCAGCCCTACACTGCATTGGCAATAAAGGCATCCTAGAGGCACTGAGTCAGAAACAGATGTGTGTATCGTCATCATTCTCATCTGGCAAAGCCGCCTTTAAATTAGTTTGATTGTTTTCATTGTGATGGCGTTCAACTGTATTTTGTCTTCCACAGTTTCCAGCCTTCCAACATTACAAGTTACCAGTGCAAAAAAAATATCCCCTATCAGAATAGACCTATCTTGTGAAGTTCAGTGGGATCATGCAGTTATTCACAAGAAGAATAGGAACTGCCACCTGGGCTTTCTGTGAAGCCCAGTTTTTCACCATTCATCTGCACCATCTCCAGAAAGGCTCCCACAACGTTATTTTTTCATGTTCTAATTTATGATTATACTCAGAATTGTACCTGGTTAAGCAAAGACAGATTAAGGTTCCAGCTCAACCTTATGTGCTGTTCAACTCTAATGCAGAGACAATGGGGACAAACAGGAATTCATGAATGTACCATGTGGCATAAAGACTATTACCAAAACTAGAAGAAAAATCCCCTTGTAGAGTCTTTAATTCCAGCTAGATTTACAGTGCTCATAGAAGAGGCATTGTGTTTGCACATTAATTTGTTTACTAGATATTATTTAGAAATCAGTTTTCAGGGCACTGGGCTATGATATTTTGTTGGATTAATCTTTAACAGACATCTGGAATTTACTTACCATAATGTGGTTCTACAGAAATTGTAGGGGTCAGAGGGGCTGGCCACACAGCAAATCCTGACAGTTTTCAATGCCCTACTGCCGCCTCTGATATTCAGATGACAGACAGTGTTATCTCAAGGAAAATTATACACCTGTCCTTATGAAGATCTTTGAGTATTTGGATGTGCTTGATGTATCACTGCAATTTTAATAGCGGAGAAAGGGGAAGCATTAAGTACACTGGACTTGGACAGCTCTGAGGAAGTTTGGAGATAGACTGGACATCACTATCAGACACTGGTCTGCTTCCAAAAAAAAATGCTCTGCTATTCCAATTGCCTCTTTCCTGGTTAAAGTTAAAATTTTAGTATCCTATGTTTTCTGTATTATTTATTTCCATTGTATACATGAATTTCTTTTAAGTTTTGCTTTTGACAGTTATGAAAATTTTGCTGTTTCCCTTCCATGATGCAATTTGATTTACTAAATATTGTATTTGCTCTTTGCTGAAAAAGAGGTTAAGTCTTATCTTTGTACTATTCATCATACAATCACTTCAGTAAATTATATTTGCCCTAAATATTTGCATTACACTTATAAAAACAAAAATATTTCCAGGCTTGCCTTCCATACATAAATCTGTCATAATGACAGTCTCTGGCAACTATCAGAGAATTAGATTAGAAACAGCTGGAAACGTTCAGGACAGATCTATGATAAGGGACTGCTAGAATCAGCAGTTTAAGTCCTTGTCAGACAAAGCAGCATTAGCCAGAAATTATAACAAAGAATCAATTCCGAGCTTCAGAGAAAGCCATCATTAATCACAAAACAACTGTGCCCAGACACCAATAAAAGCGAAAGAAATAGATCAAATCTACCAATGCATTATGGAGATGGAGATAAAAATTAATGACCCCTAATAGGTTCCTCGAACTGACTTAACATCAAGATAAAGGATGGGGTTTGAAATACAAACCTCTAAAGAATATAAAGTTAATAAAATATCTCTTGTATAGAAATTGTAGGGACCACAGGAGCTGGCCACACAGCAAATCCTCTGGTCTCACAAGGCAAAATGTCCTCAAGTATCTCAGAGATCTGGGCTTCAAAAACACCTGATCTACGTTCAAAAGCATCAGGACTGAGATCTGAAGGCAAGGAAGGAATACGCTTGCCCTGGAATCCACAAGTCAATCCTGATTGATCTTCCAGGGCAAGGCAGACTAAGAATCAGACTGCTAATTAAAAGCAACCAACCAACCAACAAAATCCTTGTCTCACCAACATGGAAACCACCTGAAGGCATCTAGAAGTTTGCAGCTGCCACGTAATATTGATTTGGACACAAAGCAATGCAAAGCTTACAAGACCTCATTCATCATCTTTTACTTCATTAAAAAGGCATAAAACTGAATCTCCTACAGGCAAAAGTAACAGGGAGGAGACTTGAGCACTCAAAAGCCAAACAACAATCCTACAGAATTTAGAAATTCCTATCAAAATTAACATCAGGAAATTAGACTACAGAAGGAAGACCCCTATGAGACGTGCTAACAGACCCCATTGCGACACAGTCCTTTGACAAACAAGCCAGTTAAAAACCTTTTTTCATGACCCAGAACTGCCTCTTACCTTATATTCATCCATCCACACATGTGCCAGCCTCAGTGAGTTATGAGCCATAGTGTCCTGCCCCCCTGGTGAGCCATAGGGACGTCTTTTACGGAAAATGTGTCCCACTCTGGAGCAGGGGATGATCAGAAGTCTACCACCACACATCCAGATCTGTCCATACAAAAGCAGAACATGCCTCATTGTACGTATACTGGCAGAGTCCACTACCTCCTCCCTTTCTTCAAGGGATACTTGGGTAGGTTTATGCATTATGACAGGATTAGCAATGTTGTTGTACGTGTCATGCTTTCTGACAAATCAAATTATTAGATCTTCAGGATAGAAAAGACTATTTTTGCCATATCACACTTCCCACATAACCTGTCACGGCTTTCATGAAACAAACAGTAAATTTCCTAAAATTTTATGCTCCATTGACCTAATAGAAAACACTGAAATACACAGGCTGGGATTCAACTTGCAAATTAAGGTATCTAAATTTATTTACCTACATGAAAATTACCTGTCCACACTTCCATACAATGAAGATCAGTCCATATCATCAAAGGAGCCTGCAAAACTTTTTGACTAAGTATAAGCACCTATGTGACACAGTTGTTCGTTTCTGTTAAGTATATGGGAACTCAGAAACAGTGTTCCCGTTCAGGTGCTACATCTAGGGGCCTTAATCCAGCTCCGTTGCACTCCAGATCTAGATTTGATTTATACTTCCATTATGTTTTTAAATTTCTTTTTAAACTTCACCTTCCAGAAAATTATCATCATTGGCCCTTTGTTGGACTAACGTGTTCTCCAATCTCAGAAGAATCTTCTCACATTAGTATTTTATAATCAAGTCACTTTTAAAACTCCTCCTGGATAAGATAAAGACTAAACTTCTTTACAGCTTTTCGCCCAGAGGGATGGGGCTTCCAGACGTTATAAACCTCTGTGAATATACTCCAATTTTTCAAAGCCCTTTTTATTGAAACTGTTTACTAGACAGTAACAACAATAATTTCCCCACACTCCATACACTTCTGCTCAGATATCTAATAATTATATTTTGCACTGAAAATCTGAAAGATTTTATTTATTCAGTACACATCCCTTTAAATTCATGCAAGTTTATGAAAAGCCAGTTCTTATTTTTGAGCTCTAATCTTGATTTTTCTAATGACCCAATTTGACAGATTTCTCTAAAGTTTGGGGGGTTGTGTGTTTGGTTTTGAGTTGTGGGGATTTTTTAATGTTAACTTCACTTTTTAATCCCCTTTCCATACTTGCCAAGATAGCATATCATTTTCAGGCAGATTCTCAAACCTGTTGATGAACCCACTTTATAAAAGTGAAGAGGTAAACAGGACATCAAGCACAAAAAGTTGTTTTTCATTCAGGGGAATGACAAGGAAGGTGAGATAAAATATATGAAGCCAAATGAAGTATCACTTTTGAATGTCCTGATGATGACTTTCTCATTGTTTTTCCAACCAAGTTGACCCCTCTATATGATCCTTAATTTAGTTATAAAAAAGTTGCATTTCCAGGCCCTCAAGAAGGAGGCTGAAGTGTCTGAAAAGCCCCATACACGTCTGATGAACTACAATAAGCTTATTATCAACATTGCTGTGAGCCACACATCTTTTTAACAGACTTGAGACATTCACCAGATGTTGCTTATAAACTCATTTCAGAAATTTGCATGATTATTCTTTCCTTATGCTCCTCCTCCCAAACAAAAAGCCACGAACATTTAAATATAGAGCTCAAAATTCTCTTTAATCTTTCCATTAAAATTTAACTTTGAAGATTATTGTAAAGGCAGTTACCATGCGCTGAAGGCATCCTTCCTGGAAATAAAAGTGCCAATTTCTGTGTGCAAATAACTGTTCCGGTGCTAAAGAAACTGTACACAGGGAAGAGAAGCAGGCAGACACCAAGGTTCATACTGCAATACACAGAAAAACTAGATTACCCGAAAAGATATTTCCAGATTTTCTCCTCCCCAGATGTCCATGCCGCTATCATACTGTCCAAGTTCATTAAAGTACTCACGATCCATAGCAAACAGGCCTCCAGCCATAGTAGGAGACCTAGAAAGGAACATTGAAAGAAGTTGTTGGGGTTTTTTTTTCCTCTAAAAATAATCAGTAAGTTGAGCTGAATCTGCTAGTCCCAAAGCTCAAATTTAGACCTACATGATACAATTTAAATCCTGCAGACACTAGCAATCATCAGATCACACTTCTAATCTCAAAACATTTTCAACAGCAGATGTGTAAGAGGTGTTTGTGATCTTTCATTATTCCAATAAACCATTTCTTTGTATAGTAAGCTTGAGGAAGAGGGATAGGACAGGGAAATAAGAACAAGGCAGCTAAAAAAAGGGGGGGAAAAAAGTAAACTTGCTCAAGTTTGGAGTCCATCAAGTTTTCTAGAGTGAAACTTCAGAGCTGCCTTTAATTAGATCTGTCTTTACCAGAAGCTGTTTCCCCCCCAGTTACAAAGGAGTACACCTGCACACCATAATGTGTTCGTCCCGCTCTTTACAGGGGCAAATGACACAGCCCAGGCTTGGCTGAACTGAAGAAAGAGCAGAACCTGCAGTACCCACTACTGAACCATATTAAAGCAGAGCAAGAAACAAAGCCCAAATTTTACAAGCCAGAAGGCTGCTAAAAGAAAGGCTACTCTGTCTCATAGACAGAATTTAAATACCAGGAGCAGCGTTGTTTCAGCACTGATGCAATGATCAGTCTATTGGTAAGTTATTTACAGTTTGTATATTTGCACAGATGTTCTCTTTGGGGTTTCGCAGTTTTTCACCTTGCCTGTATGCTACTAGAATGGTGCTCTATTTTGTAGAAATCTGTACATGATCCCCATTGTGCAGCCTCTAGATTGAATTGCTACTGTATCCCAGTGGAGTAAACCACTACATAAATACAACATGATAGCTGGAACATACAATGGACTGTGAACAAGCTGCTTCTCACCCTTGTTAATAAACATCTGTGATGAAACCAAGCCTAAGTCTGGATTTCCTCGCTTTCTCTGACAATTTCCTACCACAGTTCCTGTCACTTTAAAACCTGAGTTAAGAGATTGCTCAATTTTTCTATCCTGACACCAAAATATTTCATTATGAAGGTCTCTAAAATGTAAAACGTAAGACTTTCCATTTGATGGAAAGCCATCTTCAAAGGTTAAATACCAGTCTAGCTTCTTTTTCAACGCAGGCAGAGACTTCTTAGTTGGAAAAGTCACTTTCATACTTAGAAAATGTAATCTTTTTAGATCATTAGACTCCATTTAACTATAAAGTTCTCTGCCTTTTCCATGGGAGCTTTTCCTAAAAGTGAGTTGAATGAATGCAACCACAGTGTAAGAACTAACCTTTGGGCACTCCCCAGATCAATTGTGAGAACAGTTCTTAACAGAATAAGGATTTTAAGATTGTCTGTGCCGGTTCTCCATTCAGATTTTCCCAGTCTGTCCTTTCCCTGCTAGCTTCAGAAGCTGCCACAGTGACATTTTCCAAACAAGCCAGTCAAACTGCTCAGTAACTTAAGAAGCTTCCTGGCTTCTCAGACCAAATCTTGTGATGGGTAGACATGGACAGACTAACTGCAGAGCTATCGGACGACAGAAGAGAACCTTGTGCTGGAGCTGCTCCTGTCAGCCTGAAATGCCCTTTGTTTACAGTCCAAGAAAAGAGAATGAAAGAGATGAGACTGCCCAATTTATGGCGCACTGCAAATCTTATAAAAGTACCACATTACCTGCAAGGAGTCAGTTTGTAAAAAAAGGTGATGTCCTTCCACCTTACAAACCTGAATTCCGTACTGAGATGGATACCTGCGACTAGAAGAAGCACAATCAGCTTCTTGCCATTGCTCTGCCAGCACTGGCCCTTCTCATGAAAGAATTCACCCAGAGACAGCTCGCTTCTGTTCTCATGTCTGAACCATGTGTGTCTGCTACTAAAAAAAGGCATTTACTGACATCATTTTGTAACAGTTATGTGTCCAGTAGGAACCAGATATTGCCAGTTCTGTACAGGCAAGACAGCCACGAATGGTTAAAAGATTAAGGAAGGTAACTTTCAAGTCCTAGTGTTAAGCTCTGCCAAGACTTTTGTTTCAGAATGACTCTCAAAGGACTGCAAAAGCAATATAAACAGGCTTCCAACAGTTCGTTTTAGGCATCTGCCACATTACGCAAAGAGACAAGTTTTTAAAATAAAGATGGTTTTCACATCCATGTGTGTTCATTTAGGAAGCTTTATGACAAAATGATTGCTTGTTTTGAGGAAAAATATAAATGAAATCTAAAGCAAAAAAATGATGTTGACATAGAAAATTACCATATGCTCTGATGTTCTCTCCCATCAGCTAGGAAACCACCTTGCTATTACCACAAAAACGTATTTTCCCAATCTAGCAATTCTTTAGCATTTCATCATAGAAATTATAGAGCCTATATTAGTGGGATATGCAGGCTATTATGAGCACAAAGACGGTCATCAAAATCATCATTAAGCCAAACATATCAACAGACTAGAAACTAACACCAATGCATATCTCAAAAATGAAATTATTCGACAGATTTAAGACAGAATAGCATATGCTCCCTAAGATTTTTGTCTTTAGCAAAAGCTGCTGTGGTATAAGCATTCTCTAGAAGTGTGCTTTCTTGACCTAGTAAGACAGATATATCTAATTTGTGATTAAATGCAAGAAATTAAACTGAAATAGGTAATCACAACGAAAACTATTTCTAAGTGAAGCAAGCAAGTCAGATATTTGACAGGTTAGGCATCTGTTTCTAAAACTGCACACCCAGGTAACGCTCTATAATGCTTAAGAAGTGCTTCTGATCATCCATATGTTACACAGTTTCACATCACATAGGAGGAGCCTTACTTGATCGGAGCAGTGGCTCCCTCAGGTCCTTCCAGTTCTGACAAAGGAACAAGATCCCACTTAAAGTGCAGACCCCAGTTAAACCCTCCACGCACAACCGGGGAAGAGCTGTAGGAGAGCGTGTCAGCACTGATTATGTCAATCACAGGGCACACCACAGTCCTGCGATCTTCTCTGATGGGAGTCAGCAGAGGTTGTAACCACATCTCGTTCACCTCACAGTGACTGTCCAGGAATACCAGCACTTTCCCTGCAGAGGCCAAAGCACACAAAACACAGAGAGCTATGGTAACACGAAACACACCAACACAATTATACCAGCAGCAGAGTATCGGCAGTTTCCTCAGCACCCTCTGTAACAGAGGGGAAACACCATCTGCACTCAGAGGCGCTGACAAACCGGAGGCTCCACAGGGAATAGCTCAGTCACAAAGGCAGAAGGTAGACCCTGACTATTCGCGATTAGTTACAACTTGCTCAAGTGGGCTGTTGTTTGCGTTTTTTGAGAGGGTTTTATAGCCATCAAATTTTCTAACCAGATTCAGCAGAGCTGCTGTACTTTAAATGAAACACCATCAGAGCAGCACTCAGAGTCAGGAGGTGCGTTTGTCCTAATGCAAAGCACCTCCCGTGCCTGAATTAGATTAGCCAAAGATGACAGATATTGGGTCACACAAATTACCCCCATGACAAAGCAGGGGGGGTGTGGTTTTGTCCACTGACTGTAGTTGCCTCGGGCTCCCTTCACATCACGCTTCAGCATCCATCCAGTTACTGCTGCATGTAAAATATGTGGATTTTACACTAAGTCCTTCTGGTGAATTAATCTGCATGCATCCACGACAGAGGCCACATTTTAGTTCCTGAATATAATGTAACAGAGCATCTCCCCATTTCATTAGTTCTAGAGTAACTGTAGATTCATATGAGTTTAAAAGGAGACAGAATGGCCTAAATGGTCATAGCCAAATCCACCAGTATTAGAACAAGCAACACTTCAGTCCCATCAGTTTACATGGGGATTATCTGCCATAGTCAGAGAGGACAGTTTGATCCATGAGAGACCTTCAGGCTCAGTTGGTCAAGAGTCATCTGGATTTTTATGACACAACATAAAACTTATGTAACACTAGAATAAAGTGGAAGAGATGGGAAAGGGCTTTAAAGAAAACAACTTCGAAACATACAAATACAGCAAGTCACCCGTTAACAACAGACAGTATCTGACTGAGGAGAGGGGGGAAAGAAAAAGACTCCAGCAGTTCAGAAGAGCAATAAAATGACTTAAAATTGCACTAACTCAAATCAATCCTAGCACAGCTTGGAAAGTACAAGCACAATTTTCTCTCTGGATTATGCTATTACAATACTAATGAGTAAACACCAATTAAAGAGACTTTATCTGCCACTCAAAATTATTTAGAAAAGTAGCACACACTTTTCTCAGACATCAGAGAGTTTAACCAGAAGCATATTATAGTAAAAGGCATGCAGTGTACATAAAGCACCAAATATTGTTTATCCCAATTAATACTCACTGCAGCACCAGAAAAGCTTGTATGAGAAATGTTACAATTAGATTAGCAAATTAAAAGCCAGATTAGAGAGTACCTTAATAAGGAAGCAGATCGCTATTTTAGAGCGACAGTTCTCACATGAAACATACAGAAAATATTCTGTGACCACAACATCTAGCACCAATGGAGATCTTCCTAAGACAAGATTCTTTCAGGGCAGGAATAGGGAAAATTCTACATTACCTCACTAAATTTTGTCAAATACTGATTTCATTTTACTATTTCACTGACCCACTCTAAAAAAATCAACTCATTTTATCAAAAGCAAACTTCCACAGGATGAAAAAAAATACAAATAAACAGTTCAGACAAAGTTTAAGACACACTCAAATTTCCCTCCAAGTTTGCAAAGTCATTGTTTGGGTGACTTGAAAAAACACCTCCCTGTTCTTAGACAGCATATAATGACCAACTATAATTACGAACAGTGAATTTATATCTACTCTGTATTTACATATAAGCAAGCACCAAGTCCTCCTTGCTTCCTTCTCAGGAAATACTGGAGAAAGCTTTATAAAGATCACGGTCAACTGCATGATATAAACATTTAAATACACAGGTAATGTTAGTTAAGGTCTCCAATTACCATTGTACAGGTATCACTGAAGACACTTTGTGTAGCTGTTGCAACAGGTTAACGTCACTAGCCAAAGACCAATGCAATTAACTCAAAGTCACTGATACTCTGCAACAATTGCTGAAATGACTCTCACATAAGATAATACTATCTCAAATCTTTCTACCACTGCATTAAGTTGTGCAGTTTAGAACATGGCATGCCATGCCAAGCCCCTACAGTGGGCTTAAGCAATCACAGGTCAAACGTTCAACATCTGGAAAAGCTGCACTACAGAAAGAGAAGTCACCCAATTAACACACGGTCAAAGTACGCAAGGGAAAAAAAAAAACACGTAAGTGTACCTGTGGCATGAGAGGCTCCAACCATTCTTCCTCGAATCAACCCTTCCCGCTTCTCATTTCTTACCAATTTTGTGGTTTTTGGAAGCTGAGTTTTAACATATTCACCCAAGTCTTTCTTCAAGTCAGCTGAGAAAAGGAAAACACAAGTTCAAGAACAGGGCAGAAATGGTGAAAGCTTTGTTTAAAGTCCCAAGATGTTCAACTCAAAAAGGGCCAAAAACTTGATCAAAAAGCTACCCCAATACAGCATTCAAACCAAGAGTATCAAAAGGACAGTCAGTCATCTCACATCCTACACCTGCCCTCCGATTTCTGTGGCCTTTTTTTTGTTGTTTAATTTGCACATCTTCCTATTAACTGCTTCACTTTTTCCTGCTGCATTGTGGAAATGCACAAGGACAAAGCAGGTACATTCTCTGTGTTGAAGAGGGTGACGGACCCTACGACTGGGCTTTCCACGGGGACATTCCTTATGCTGCCACTGTCTCAGGTTTTATACTTAGGCTTGGTTTCCTGAATACAGACTGGATTCTTACCTTTTTGTTCTGTTTGCAAAGCCTTTAGTAAAACGCGACTCAAGTTAACTGGAACTACTAGACTCTGCTAAAAGGAATTACTGCTGCTAAAAGATAAAAAGCACTGCACAAAGAAACAGCATTTCCAAATTCTGCTCATGGTGACTGTCATTTGCAGCAGAAGTAATGAAAGCCTTTTCACACAGGCAAGTGATTTAAAAGATTATGTTCCATACACTAAAACAAACACCGATGCCTTTAAAAAGAAGCATGAAGACATCTTTCATTATCTGTACCTGCTTAGCTGATACAACAGCAGCCACAAAGTACAACTCACTCACAGGTGGCTGCTTTTCTAAAACACACAAGGATCAAAGACACCGCTGGCAAGCACGTGCTTTTTAAGTAGGACAAAGTTCACAGAAGTCTGTAGGCACTACTGTAACTTAACTCTTAAAATCGCCCATGATGTTAGTAACAATACTTTTTTTTCACCTGAGGACAGTGGTGTCTAATATTAAAGCAGGACCACTGAAGAGAGGATGGAAACAAAGACTGAAATAATGGAAAAACCAGAAGTTAATAAGCTTATGGAGAAATAAAGAGGAATATAAAATGAGGAAGAAAAACAAAAAGCCAGCTGAGACTTCATAGAGAACCTTGGAATAGAGAGGCAGAGAGACTTTCAACAAAGGATATGCTGGAATAAATATTCTGATGAATGTCCAAACGTTAAGATCTCAGCTGAGCACTGCAAGGCAGCATCATGGATCACAAATCAGAGAGTACCACACAGCAAACATGATACTAGAGAACATCCTAGGACAAAGAAAAGTCTCTGGAGAGATGCAGACAGAGTTCATTTGGGTCACAGGATTCTCTCCACTGGTCTTGAATTTGACATCATATGCTAGAGACAATAGGAAAGATTTTTTTTTTTGGAGAAAGTCTCCTAGAAAGTTGATGAAATAAAGTCATCTCTAGGATGCTACCCAAATGAGACACACAAATAAGCAGGACAGAAGGATTTCCAAACCTAAAATAAACAAGTGCTTGAATCCCTCTTCACCTGATGTATCACAGCAAGGGAAAGACAGCGTACAACTGCAGAAAACAAAGGGCTAGCACAAAGCAGAAGTCGTCAGTTACCAAATTCAGCACTTAGAGCAGATAAGGCTGCATGAAAGGACATACAATAGGAAACAGTTCAGCATGCGGAATGGCACGTGCAAAGTTCTGAAAACAGCAGCAGAAGAAAAAAATAAAAAAGGACACATCCATGCTGGTAGCTAAGCCAGGCCCACAGCACAAGCTTGAGCAGCAGAACATAAGAGCCAGCAGTACCTAACTGCTAACATGCTCTCAGAGTCCAGTTTTGACCCAGACAAATTAGCATTCTGCTGGAAACTGTGCCCAGCCATTGCCTGGGACTGAACATATCGTGGACCATTCTCAACGAACAGTTTAGTCTCAGACACATTTTGGGGTTTTCGTTGTTGATGGGTTTTTGTGTGTCCATGTCCAGCTTCATGTTCACTGGGAAGACTGATTTTCTCACATAACCCAAAAAATTGCTTCAATATAACCTGCCTGAGAAATTGTCCTCTGAGAGAATTACTCCCTTTAGCCAGTAGACAGTCTCCAAAAATTACTTTAGCCATTATCTTGCTCCCTATCTATGTAACAAAGGCTCCTCCGAACAAAAGAAATCTAGGATGGGAGTCAGAGGCGTTACTATTTCAAAATACTGAGTTGTGCACAATCTGCTCCTTTTCTGTTCTTCAATCTCTTCTTCTGGAAAGAAAAATGCCTCCACTAACAACCTCAAACATATCCTGTAGGCTGTTCCATAACAGGTAAAGCCTAAATCAGAGAGAAAGAGGTTGTGCTAGAAAAAGAAATCCTGCCTTGCAGCAAAGAGAAATAAAAATGTAACAGTGGGCTCAGCTGAGCCATGGAAATGCCTGCTTAGCTAGTAAGACTGTTGATGATTGAGCTTAAGAAGCTTTCAGATGCAAAGACCCAAGCTTTGTACAACAGCACTGACACGCAGCAGAGCTCCTATATCTAAAGCTGAAGAAATAGGCAGAATTTCATCTAAGTTACCATTTCAGGAAGCATGTAATGTAGGAAAAATTAATTAAAAAATTCAGAGGCACAGAGATTAAGCAATTTGCCCAGGCTCACATGAGATCCATGGCACAACCAAAGTCTTAGTCCATTTCATCAGTCAACAAACCAGCTTTGCCTTTCTTCAGCTGTAAAATTCCATCCATTAAAATCAAGCAGCAGTGCAAACATCAGTAGTACCATCCTCATCGAGAGCATTCATCCTCTGTGTAAATAATGTGTCCTCCCACCTTCGACTTCAAAACACGTCCATTTGAAGCCAGAAAGGCAAAAGTAACTACCTGAATGTTTTGAACCTAATCTGGTCTGTTGCTAACTTGAAGGCAAATAGAGCGATGGTATTGCTGCCTAAACACAGGCATTAACCAAATGCATTACTGCATTCAAAAGACTGGAGTTTTGAAGTAAGCTTAGTTCTGAATACAAAGGTTACGAAACTTTAAAACAACAAATTGCACAAGAGACTTTGTAGTAAAGAGTGTGTATTGCTTCCAAAACACAAAACCACAAAACAAGCTTCTAAATATTATGCATTCTTTTCAGCTAGGGGCAGAGTGTTTGATCTCTGTTCTCTCCTGTATCTTAACATTTGATCTGACCTCAGAGAAGTGAACTAGCTCAGTAACAAGAGAACATCATTCTACATTATACACTTCTAATCAGTCCCTTAGAGCAAGTGAGACCTTAACCCACAAACCAGACGATGAGACCAAGGGAGCTAATTATATGTACTAACGAAATATAATCTAAAAATCATCTGTAAAATGCAAAAAAGCTGTGGACTTGTACAGAGGCAAGCAGGGAACTTGCACAGTCCTGCTGGCAAGTACTGCTACACTAACACATTCCTCAACAGGCATTTCGCTTTTGAAGTGCCAAAATGCTTGAATTGCGTGTCTGTCTTTGCCTTGTCAGTCATTCGAGAGAAAAATGCCGAAGCACCAATCTTTCAACAACAATAAAGCAATTCTGCAAGGCCTACCCCTCCAGGGCCCCTCCCAGACTGAAGAAGCTGAGGCTGCTCCAAGAGCCAGGGACAGCTACTCCCAGGGTGGCCACAAGAGGCTGTGCGAGAGCCACGCAGAGCCTTCCCAGCAAAAGCTGAGCTCCACTCCAGCACGCCACCAGTCCGAACTGCTGAGCAAGTACTGGAAAACTGACGCGCTGTTTCCATAGTGCCACATCAACTTACCTGCAAGACCGCAGCTGAGACTACGTGCATTCCATTCCTTTCAGGTGCACTCACAGTCAAGTATTGGTCGATAAAGTTTATGGGAAGATCAGTGTAATCCGCCCTGAGCACCAGAGCAGCCCAAGCAAGATACTGTTAAAAACTATAGCTGAAATATAAACAACTGCTTAATCACCCCTCTGCACATACACACTCCTCATGATTAGCTTTGAAACCTGGTTTTGATTATTGAAGTCTGTATGATACAAAGCTCATCAGTAAAACGACACCAGCGTCAAAGGAGATGTCATCTTAGGCTTCTCAGAACATCATGCGTCTCTACTGGCTGGCACTTTTTGGAGATGGACTGCAGTGCAAATCGGTTTTGCATCATGGCTTCCATATTTTTATTACGACCAGCCAATAAAGCACAGGAAGTCAAGAAGTGTAAGCACTGACCAACATACTACTGCAAAGTTCTCTCACCCAATTCACTGTTGTCATCCACCAAAATAATTTCATGAAGAAGGTGTGCAGGAGTGCGATCCAGGACACTATGTACCGTGCGAAGCAGGGCAGAAAGCGCTTCGTTGTAGAAACAGATAATAACACTGGCAGACGGCAGATCGGAAGGGTAGGACTTCTCTCTGCATCTGCAAACAGGAGTACAGCAGTTACCACTTGATTTCCATAGGGCTAGGTCACCACTGAGACTTCATAAATAACAAGCAAACAGTAAATGTGTAGGAAGAACCCCTAACTTGAACATTAAAAGCCCAGGTGTACAACGTCTGTAGTAGGACTCAGCGTAGTAAGTTACTCTTTACACAACACAGACTTATAATTAACATTGATACTTGTTAGAAAACAGAGGATATGATGGATTGGGGTGGGAGTGAGAATCACAGATCCTCAAGACATAAACAAGAGAAGACCAAGGGCTTGTTTCAGCTGTCAAAACACGGTCTAGTACCCTCAGGTAGCTCACACATTTAACAGGAATGGCAAATATGACATAAGGCCTACAAAAACCCCACAACTTTATTGGCCAGCTGCTGGAGACTAGGCTGGATGTCCCAGAATACCTCCAATGGTGCTAAATACCTATTTAGATAACCAAGGTTGAGATTCAGCCTGCAGATCAAGACAGTTAAGTCTAGTCACTACTGTCAGTGGAGTATAGATAGTGTTTAGTTCACCCTAAGGCTGTCAAGAGCATTTTGTCAGCTGAAGAGCTCTGCATGCTCCATTAACTGCATTGACGGGATCTCTGCTAATTACAATAAAAGCAGAGACAACTGACTAACATGCAGCTATCTAAATTCAAGCATCTTAATCTGCAAGCTGAATCCCCCTCAAAGCAGATTATTCATTCTTTCTCCTTATTTTCAGACTTTGTCCATGCTTCTAATAGGGCACAGTGCCACAGATTAATGCTACTTGAAGATGGCAGCCATGAGAGAATTCAATAAATGAAAACCCAGAAGTATACAAGAAAATGCTTCATTGACTTGGAATGAACTTAGCTCTTGGGAGAGACGTTTCAGCCAGTAAAATTCATTACATTTACCCACAGCAGAGAAACCACTAGAAAAACAGATGCAGGTTTATTTTTCAATTCAACATTGGGGTTTGTTGTTGTTGTTACAGTGGTGGTGTTTTTTCTCCCTATATGCAGACAGATTATAGAAAAAAACCTGCTTTTTATGAGAAAGTATTCAGAGCAGTGCAATCCAGATACCAAGCAAGAACTTTAACTGAGAAACAGAGAGCCTTTGTCATCAGTCATTCTTCTATCTTATCCTCTGTAGGCTTACAACAAATGTGAAATAGTACATAATGTAAAAAGTCTGTCATTAACTTAGTCACTGGAACATTTAATGCCCATCTTTCAAAGGTACCAAACAGAATTACAGCATCTCTTCCGGTCGTTACAGTACCGAGTATCTCAAAATGAAGCTTAAAAAAAAACCCCCACGTTGTAGCACGCTGTAAGTAACCGAGTACACCGCTAGCAAGGTGAAAGAGACATAGGACATGTAATCTTAGTGTTGCTGGAAGGAAAATTTGATTCCTAGGTCTTTTCCACATTGATTTGTGTTTAAAGTACTATTTTCAGAATCTTGTTTCTAACAAAACAGCTGTCTGCCAATCCTACTACTTAGAAAAATTAAATTAGTATGACAGAAGTTGGAGCAAGCATATATCCAATCTAGTTCTTCATTAGACATTCTTAAAGTGCATTAAGAATTGAGAAAAAACCTTGCTTTCAGGGAGTAGCATCTTTCTTTTTTCATGGAGCCTGGTTTCCATGGGGCTTTACCTATCACATACCTTTTCCAGTTGGCAAAAAAATAGATCTCCAGAAACAATATCCAGTCAAAAAGGACAGAGAGACACCAAAGAACAAAAATCTTAACCTCAAGCACTCCTTTTTAAATAGCTGCAAATCTGCCTTCAGCAACACAAGAGGCTGAAAGAGTATCTAACAGAAATGTAATACCAAAAGTGTTAAATACTACATCAGGTATGTGAGAAACAAGTCCTTAAGCACATCAAATTATACCATGTTCCCTCCAAAACTTAGTACATACTTTGGGTCTCTTGTATCAGGCACCTCCCTGTGGTATCCCAGACGATTACTGATAAGCATATTGAAAGCATGCTTCTGATAGCCCAAGTCTCTCACTTCCTGATCTTCTTCATTAAAAATCATTCCTGAAAAAAAAATAAAAAACAAAACCAAACATGCCAAGATCAGTTAAGAGGCTCAAAAATATCCTTTGAAAACCATCAATGATTGAAACATATGCTTTAACCTCCCCTAAAACCCATTATGTTCTTCAAAAATCCCTCTGTTTTTGCAAAGTGTGTTTTTGTGCAACTATTTCTATTGTACAAACAGGTAGCACTTATGAGTAGCCCTTGCAGCTATAATAAAACAAAATCATTCTCCAAAGACAGATGGCTCCATTGTGCTTATTGCCTTACCAGACACACTCCCTTCACTTAAATGGCTCCAATTCTTAGCACCGCCTAAAACCCAACATCAAACAAGCAACAGAGAATAGCCTTTGGCACACAATGCATCAGCACCTATCCATACAGATAAAGGTCTGTAATGGGACTTTTGAGAGAGAAAATACATTTCCAATGGCAGAAAAACAATAGCAGTGCAATTTAATGCAGTTTTCTCCAGTTTGCAGTAACATAAAAATAACTACGAAAAACCCCATAAACTTCTTGTTTATACCACCTAGGACTTTGACAGCAAGTAAAAGCAACAGAGCTAGCTTTTTTATTGATTATTTTAGCCCAAGCATCAACTGTTGCTGAGCATGGCCGAAGCAGCAATTGCTGGTATAAATAAGTACACTGCTAGAGGCCAAGATTGAAATCCTCAACGCCATCCTGCCTGCCTTGACTCAGTGCCATGGGCTTCTCTCTCAATGAGCCATACACCCACCAGTGTGAACAGAAACAAAATATTATGGTGCTTCGCTCAACTCTTCTACAGAAAAAAAAAAAAGAGGGAGAGAAGTGGTAGCCACCGCCTGCATCTGCTAGCCACCTCTGCAACAACTCAGGTAGCCGTTGTCTCTGTTCAGCTGGCTGCACAGAATAAGATGTGTATGTCCTCTCCAGCTACTATCAAACTACAGAGACAATATCACTGAAATTTCAGTACAAGGAGTGAGTTAGGATCATGTAATTTACCTCTTTCCACCCTGTCCATCATCTCCATACGGTTCAAAATTTGTAGAAAATAATTAACAAAGCTTCCACCCTGCCCATCATCTCCATATGGTTCAAAATTTGTAGAAAATAATTAACAAAGGGGTTCCTCAGTCACATGCTACCATACATCCAGGATAATATGTTGCACAGAATCATGGACTAATTTAGGTTGGAAAGGTCGTCTGGTCTAATCCCCTGCTCAAAGCAGGTCCAACTAGATCAGGTTGCTCAGAACTTGTCCAGTTAAGTTTTGAAAGCCTCTAGCATCTCAACAGATGGAGATTCTACAACCTTTTCAGGACTCTGTTCAAGCTTTTGACCACCATCACACTGAAAATGTTTTTCCTCTTATCTAATACAAATACCCTCCTGGCTTTAATTTCTTATCATAATCCCAAGCACCTCCAGAACGAGGCTGGCTCCACCTTCCCTACAGCCTCTCATTAACTTGCTGTTGACAGCAATAAAACGTCACCACTTTTAGCCTTCTCTCTAAGGCAGAACAAACCAAATCCTCTCAGCCTTTCTTCATACCTCATGTTCTCCAGTTTTCAACAGCTATGCAAAAGCCAGCTGAGCTCAAACCCGGAGAAAGTGAGATGGCTTAAAAAAAAAGGAACAGAAGGTAAGGTCATTTAAAAAAGATTTGAAGCTTTCTTCCCTTTCAAACAAGTAGTCCTGGTTGGGCTTCAGAGCACAGCTGTGCCACTACCAGTTGTGTTTCAGCAATAAAGTCTAACTACAGGTAGGAGATGACCTTCTAGAGGGAATTCTGTGCATCCACATTCCCACCATTCACATTTCCCACTCTGTCACTTTTAGTCTTGAGTACAGCAATGGCAATGCAGCTGCATTATCAAACACCTCAAGAGTATGTTCCTTGACATTTGTGCACAACCAAGTGGGAAGTGCTGGACAGTGATATCAGGAAAAGACATGGGATATACCCACATAGTGTGTCTTGTGGTGACTGATCCTATCACGCTCATGGATGAGTGCTTCCACTGTGGGTAAGCTGCATCATGGGAACGGGAATGAGGTCTGTTCACAGTGGCAGTGCCACTCTTCCAGTACCAGCAGCCTAAAGCAGTAAGTCAGTCCTCCTTTGAATCACATGCATTTCCAAAATGTTTCCAGCTTGTCAGTGCAGACACCCAGCTCAATCACTCTTGAATACGACCCATCATAGTAACGCTGTGCCAGTGGATCAACTTCAAACATTTTCTTTATACAAAGCATGAAGAACCACATACCAAATATTTCATTCTACAATCCATCCCTAACTAACCACTAACTTTTTTTTTTTTTTTTAACTCCTGGTCTTCTGAATATGTAAAGGAATGCTAATATTTCGAAGCTTTCTCATGAAGAACAATATCCAAAACACATGCAAAAGGCCTGAAAGATTTCAGTCCAAACAGCAGATAAAAGCCTTTGGTAAAGAAGGGCTTTGCAATCAAAACATCAGTTTAGGCTTTACTTCAGCAGTGTTATGTGGCTCTCCCAGATTAAAAAAAGATAGATTGTCTTACCAGATGACAGTTTGGTTTTGGCAATCGTATGCCAAATATTTTTTTTTTTTTTTTTTTTTTTGCTTTGTGTGTTTATCACTGCCCTGCCCTGGACAGACAGGAAGCCCTTGCCTGCAGCACCTGATCTAATTCTAACAGAGCACCAGCTGCCTCCTGATGATTCATGGAGAATTTCTCCTGGCACTGTAATTCCCCTTGGCTTTCACCAACTACACCAGTCACTTGGTCTGAAGATCAAGGGACTTCGCAGTTAAAAAGGTCCAATTTCTTTCCTGGCCGGTACTGAATAGTTGGAAAGAAACGGCCACCGCTGGACTGGCCTTCACCTCACTTAGCTCTCATGGTTTTTGCAGTGAACTGATAAACACTTCTAATGCCTCAGGGCAACGTGAACGGGCATTTTTCCTACATATTCACACAGGTCCAACGACCAACTCAGAAAGTGAAGTTTGGTGAAGTTCTGTAAACTCTTGAAGCTGGTGATCCAGCATTCATCCAAAGTAATGACAGAGGACTTCAATCAGGTATGAGTACTACACTCCTGGCTATGAAGGGTACTATGCCACAATTCCCAAAGCAGCAGACACTGATACCACAACACTCACCATCTGCCTCCAGACTTAAAGGGTGTTTGCAGACCAGTATGCAACATGCCTCAGTTTGCACAGCTGAACACCACAGCAAACACTAAGCTGTAAGCAGTTAAATATACAAGCAATTACACATACAAAGCATTTTAGTTTCGAAGGCAGATTTGGAAGACAAACCCAAATCATCTCATTGATGAAATATGCTCCAACGAAACACTCAGGCCTTTGCTTGTGCAAAGCAAGTATGATTTGGCCCTAACGACTGTCATCTCAATAAATCTTTCATTGTAATTTGTCCCACACACATTTTTTGTAGACGATTTCATACTCCAAGGATATTCTCCAAATCAATGGGTCCTCTTCATTGTGTGTTGTTATCAAGCTATTTTTAATTACTGCATATGAGCAGAGTTTCTCTGTGGCTAATAAAGGTTCATGTATTTGAGGGGTAAGACCCCAGTCAACATAGGGGTAAGATATGAAACAAGCATACACTGAATCTTCCAAAAGCAAGAACATCATCAAGGGCAGACACCTTGCTGTAATCCAGTCCTCCTCATTAGCACTTACAGAGCACAGCTGTAAACATTAGGAATAGTATATTTTTGATTAAACACAATAGCATAAATTTAATTTCTAATGAAGACAGCCACTAGTCCCATCTGCATTTTAACAAACAAAACTACTTCAGTACACAGTTTTTCCTGCAATCCCTTAAAAAACAAACCAACCTTAATATCTCATTTCTTCAACTGTTTTAATAATTTTGTCACCAGCACTGAAAATGACTTACCCATTTCGGGAGAGAATTCTACCTCCCCCTTAACTGGGTCCTGGACATGGTTTCCAAGAGCATTTCCTATCTTATTCTCTTTCTGTTGCAATTCAGGTATATGAACAGGCCCCCGCGTAAAACGGGGGAAGAATTTTTTTGGAAATGGCCTCTGAGGTTCCAGCCCCTTGACGGGCACATTCTTGAAAGATTGGTTCTCTTCACTGAAGTTGAAATAAACAAAGAGCAGAAGTGTCCAGGTCACAGATGTGAAAAGGCACCCATAGCAGAAATAGCGAAGCGTGACACTTCCCATTGTAGACTTAGCATCGTTGAGGACCCATTCTCAATTACCTGAAAGAGAGCGAAAACACACATTTTGAGAGCGCTGCCTGCTACCTCATCAGGTCTATACATTAGGAAATGCATTCTATAGGCTGCTCTTTCATTAAATGATTTTTGGAACTTAAACTTTAAGCATAGACCTTAAGAATGAAATCCCTTTTCACTTTCCCATTCAAAAAAATAAACATGACCAGTTTGCACATTCCGTGTAGATTCTACTCCTTAAAACATGAAGCAAACAATCACGAAGAGCCCAGTAACACATCACAATTAAAGGTAAAAATGATTACTTTTTCCTCATAATAGTTATATAATCATCTATCTTCATCTTCTTGTACAACAGTACATTCCTTGTATGCCTGCATCCATTTAAACATATCACTATTTAACTAAATATACTACACACAGGGAATTGATTCTTCACAGAATCACAGGTTAAGACTGGAAGGGAACTCTGGAGGTTATCTTGTCCAGCCCCAGTGCTCAAGCAGGGCCACCCTGAGCCAGTTGCCCAAGAGTATGTCCGGACATGTCCATTTTTGTAGTTCAGTTCCAATCCTGAAATATGGATTGAGAGAACACAGACTCAAAAACCTACGTAGTTCAGTCCTCCTTGCCCCAAATTTAAGAACAGCCACCATGAGCATTCCAGAAATTCCAGAAATCATGGGGTGCAAATTAACAACACATAGCACCAAGACAGTCACATTTACAAATACTCTTCTCCACAGAAAGGAAACAGGTATGGGACAGGGAAAGAGCAAAAAGCTCCACAGTGATTTTCCTGGGTTCCAGCAGGCCTCTGCAGACTCCAGAAAATCGTCCACACTCCCTGGAGATGCCCACCTAGAGCTGGAAGGAAGCAATCCAGCCCCGAGTTTTACTTTAGGCACCCATCCACTAACACAATTTCCCCAACCTATATAATAAATTACTGCTTACTATCGTAAACAAATTCCTGAAGTGAAGCATATGAAGCTGGTGATATTTATGGCCCAGAATAATCAGGTAGGCTTTCTGGAGTTTCTCAGATCTAAAAAAAGCTCCAAAAAACCCCCAAAAAACTATGCAGTTCAGTTCCCAAAACTGAGAAAAATACTAATTCAAAGAATTAGATTTTTCTCATCATTATCTAACTGCAACATACTCTTTGCATATTAACAAAAACTCCGGAAATCATTTAATCACTTCTTAATCAGCATAACATTTGTTTTAAGAAAATGAAGTACTGGGGTGGGAGTCAAAGGTTTACACTGATACATTTTTCAGACTTCTCAAGAAGTCAGAAACTACCAGAAGTCTTCAGGTCAACCTGGCAAAGAAAAAACCACAACATTTATGAGTACAAACACATAATTCCCTTCTCAATATGGAAAAACTACTAAACAGAGGTAGAAGGCGTTCATGATCCCAAGGAAACCTATAAAGATCCCACTTATTTTGGCAATGTAATTCTGAGTCCTAAGTGACTTCCACCCAAAAAGAAACACATCAAAATTCAAGCTCACATTTCCCAGACTGCAGCAGGTCATTGTCTCCCTTCCAAAACTAAAATATCCACAAAGTAAAATAAATAAAGAAAAAAAAAAAAACACTCAAAAATAATTTACCCATTACTTTTACCACATCAAACTCCCACTTCTGCAAGGCAACAATCTACACAGCAGTTAAGCCCAAGGAGCTTAAAAAGGTCTTAAACAGGGTGTAACTCTCATACTGACCCTGTGCACACAGATGAATTGCATGCGCTGTGAAACAGGCTCGCTCTTTAAAACTGTCACACAGAAATCTTGCTGCTTAACTGTAGGGCCATGAAATTAGTCAGGCAACAAATGCTCCGGGGCAGAAATGATTAAAAACCCCTCATTCTAGCTAGTGGAATGGGTTTATCAGTTGGAGAAGTAGAGCTCACCAATCCCCAGTGCCTTGATCCCTGTGCTAACAGTGGTCAATGATCATACCAAGGCAAATCTAGGCCACCTGAGGCTGTAAAGGAGCAAGATTAGATAAACAGTTATATCCTCTCATTATAATAATTCTTCTTGCCAGACAGTCTGCAGCTAATTAATACTTATCCGCAAAAGAAGATCTGGGTGCTTGCCAGGTTTTCTTTTGCACAGCCACAAAGAGGTCATCTGCTGTAAGGCTTGTCCAAGCCCAATACAACGCTCCTCAAAACCTGCTAGAGTTGGTTTTCCATTCACTATGGTAACACCGATGCACAACCCCAACATCACTGCATGTGCACTTACACTGTGGAACAGAACTGTTCCAGTAAGACAAAAATTACCGTAACAGAGAAGGAACTTTTCGTTTCAGAGTCGTTTAAGGATACACCTACGCTGCAGCTCGCAGAGGAAAATCGAAGATAATCCTTGCTATCTCGGGTACCAGTAGCAAGACAGGCGCAGAGAGCAGAATTCACCATGGACTAAGTATTTCCCCAGCTTCTTCCATCTCTTTTACAGCTCAGAGCTCCACCTTGCTGCTGTGACTGACATCAGGCATACTCAGATTGAAGAGGAAGGGATAAATTAGTGATCACCCGAGTGCAAAGAGTGCTGTACATCCGTTCCTCCTCCAGAAAGCCCGCTGAGCAGGCTCTGGTTGCTGTTACAAAGGCAACAGGTGCAAACCTGAGCATGGTATTATTTCCATGTGCTCCTTGCTCGAGCAGAACTGCTTCTCCTTCTTTCCCTCCTTCACTGTTTGGCAGTTTTGTAGAAGGATACAAAGGTTGAAGTACTGCATTTAAAGCAAATGACAGGACCTCCACGATGCAGAAAACTAGGCCCTTTCAGCAGTTTGCTATTCAACCAAGACGTCTGGTAATAC